AATCACCAGATGTGGAATCAAAATCTTATAACAAGATCTAAAAATATAAAAATTTAAAATATAGGTTATATATCTTTTCCAAGTAAAATATTATAAAATAGTTCTCAAAATAATAAACTGTTCTAATACCATCAGCATTAAAGTATCACATTTTATCTAGATTATTAAACATTCTTTAATTTTATAAATGGAAAAATTAAGTCAATTCCAAATAGTCACATTAAAAAAATTAGAAAGCTTAGAATATACCATCATCATAATTATGTGATTTTAAAATGGGGGCCTTGTTCAGTAGCACCCTTAGCAAAAAGTAAAAGAAAAAAAATAAATAAATAAAAATGGAGATTTGAATTTATATTTATTTATTCTGTATAATCAATTTATACATAATTTATATAAAATTATTGTAAAATAAAATGTAGAAGCAATTATAAATTCAAACTAATGTAAATGCAGTTGACCCTTGAAAAACATGGGTTTGAACTTATACTTGCATATTTTTCAACCAAATGCAGATAGAAAAACAGTATTCACAGGATGTGAAAGTCTTCATATACAGAGGACTGACTTTTCACATGGGTTCTGCAGGGCCAACTTGGGGACTTGAGTATTCACAGATTTAAGCATACATGGGGGATCCTGGAACCAACCCCTCACATATACAAAGAAATGACTATATTGTTCTTGCCAAAATGAATGAACTGTAAGGACCACTAAATTTACTTTTGTAGGACTATCCTTCTTAAAGGAGACTATCAACATACAACTCATAATCTATTAGAAAGCTCTATTAGGATGAGCCTGAACTCATCTGAGACATGCTATCGTACATGTAAAATGCATAGCAAAGTCCACAGCACAGAGCATGCTCAACAAGTATGAGATGCCTTCCCATCATCCTGATACCTAAATATTACTTTTTAGTTGTTTCAAACCTCTCCATTTTCAAATTTTTCTTCTACAGAGTTAAAGACAGCAAAATAAAGTTTTACATTAAGTTTCTAAATCTAATAGAAGTAATGATTAAACAGCCTATAATCAAGCAACAGAAAAGAAAAACCAGGCAGAAATAACAAGGTACTAGTAATTTATCTTCAATTTTTTCCAAAGGAAAGATGATCAAATATTAAAGCTGAAAGGGACCTGAAAAATCTCCTTGTGTAACTCCTTTACTTTACAGATTGAAAAACCAGGGCATAGAGGGTCTTTATGTGGCTTGACCAAAGTCACATAGCTGGTTGTTGGCACAGCCAGGACCAGACCTGAAGTCCAGTGACTCCCTTCAATATATTCTTTTTTTTTTTTGAGACAGAGTCTTGCTCTGTCACCAGGCTGGAGTGCAGTGGCACGATCTTGGCTCACTGCAACTTCCACCTTCTAGGTTTAAGCGATTCTCACGCCTCAGCCTCCCGAGTAGCTTGGATTACAGGCGTGCATTACCACACCCAACCAATTTTTATATTTTTGTAGTAGAGATGGGGTTTCACCATGTTGGCCAAGATGGTCTCAATCTCCTGACCTTGTGATCCGGCCGCCTCAGCCTCCCAAAGTGCTGGGATTACAGACATGAGCCACCAAATACATTCTTATTAAAACAAGCTGTCCTGCTTCTCATACTATGTGGCCTTCACACACACATGTGTATGGGTATAGTTTGTATGGTGCTGGTGATGGGGACTTGCTAAACATTGTTAACTAATTTTAAATTAAACAAATTTCACACATGTTATATGTAAACTTACCTATAGAAATCCTCGATATTTGTGTAGTTTAATAAAATAAAAGGAAAAGAAGATAAGCTGTATTCAGTATCTTGAAGATTTAGCCATTCCAAAACCAGATAATCCAAATGAGAAGCCATAAAGTCTTCTAAACACCTATATCCAAAAGTTTCAGAAACTTTCTCTAAAACCTGCACAAACCAGAAAGCCAATTTGTTAAGAAAAATGAAAAAAATAAATCATTTAAATGCTTGCTAATATTATTTAGAGTAAGACCTAGAAAGAACACTCTTTTAACTTTTCTTGATTTCCTCATCTATGAGATGGGAATAATAATGAAGAAAATATACTCAACTGGCACAGCATCTGACACACAGCAAACCCTTAATAAATGTTAAGTAAATAAAAACATAAAAATATGCTGAGAGTTTTCAACATTTGGTTATATTTAAAGGAAGATTTAAAGTAAAATTATTGGCCAGGCATGGTGGTCCACACCTGTAATCCTAACGCTTTGGGAGGCTGAGAAGGGAGGGTTGCTTAAGCTCAAGAGTTCAAGACCACCTTGGGCAACATAGTGAGAACCCATCTGTATAACAAATTAGCCAGGCACGGTGGCACATGTCTGCAGTCCCAGCTACTCATGTGGCTTGGGAGGACTGCTTGAGCCCAGGAGGTCAAGACTGCAGTGAGCCTTGATTGAATCACCGCACTCTGGCCTGGGTGAGAGTGAGACCCTGTCTTTCAAAATAAATTAATAAATAAAAATTTTAAAATAAAGCAAAATCATTCCTCTCAGGCTTAAATCCAAATAAAAAATCCACAGAATACATACCACTTATAACTGTTAGGTAATGTATTTGTATACTTTTAAGAAACACCAAACAAATCTCATACTGAGAGGTAAAAGTTTAACTAATTACAGGTTGGCTTACTATAAAGCTCCACGGAAACTATGCTGGTAGAATGTTAACTGGAGTACGAGTTCACTGACCTACCATTGACTTATTACATAAAAATCTGCAATGGAAAGGCCTGGAACTTCCTAAACCATAAATGCTAGGGTGATGGAAAAGAAAGGGGGCCAACATTCTATAATACTGTGCTGATATAATAATTATGAGGCGGGTCCCTAGTCCTTCTCCCCTAATAACTGAAATTAAAAGCCTGATAGCTGTTAAATTTGACTTCTGGCCCTGCTAGACCCCAATGTGCTGCCCCAGAATCTTCCAGGCAAAACACCTATACTGCTCTTGGGTCCATATGTTTCCCTCAAAAAATACTATTTCCAAAAGCCTGGTCTGTCTGGTAAACAAGTCATTCACCCTTGTTAGTTCAATGAAAGCCTTGTGAAATGCTCTTAAACTGAATATGAGAAATGACAGTGCATACACATAAATACACCATTTGAATAGTTTTTATATAACTGCTTTCCAATATTCCCAACCTAAAAAATAAAATTGTTTCCTAGTCTTAAATAAGTGCCACTTAGAAAATCTAGCTTTAACTTTTTAAATTATTTCACAGTGACCCAAGGAAGCTTATAATAAAATATTCATCCACATATACCTTTTTCACAAGGTGAAGTTCTAATCCGTTTTCTTTCACAGATTTACAAAGAGCAAACAAAGCCTGTTTTTCACAGATAGGGCTACAGGATAAAACCACAGCTATCAACATCAGTAAAACAGATTTTCTATTATAAATTTCATCCAAAGGTTCACGGTTCTCAGCGCTATGGGACTTAAAAAGAAATTTAAAAAAAGTAGCATAAGGTAAAACGTAAATGTTTAATGATCAATTATAAAATCCCAACTGAACTCCAGATTTTTGACTAGCTATTTCACATTTAGAGAACCTTTTATTCACTAATCATAGTTCTTTTGTTACAAGAAAAAGTAAGGACTTAATACCTTTACTAAATCACAAGCATTGACACATTTAAAAACAGTTATGGCCTTTCCACTAAGTCAGTTCCTTCACCCATTTTTTATAAGACACAGATCTATAACATTCTGGCTATACAGAAACATTTAATAACTAAAACAGTGTAACTGGATTGCTTGTAACACAAAGGATAATTGTTTGAGGAGATGGATATCCCATTCTCTATGATGTGATTATTTCATCACATTGAAATAATCACATTGTGTACTTGTATCAAAACATCTCATGTACCTCACAAATGTATATACATATACACACACACACACCTACTATGTACCCATAAAAATTAAAAATCTAAAAATAAATAAAGTAAAAATTATAGAAGATCCAAGTTCTTGTATCAACTTTGTTCATGACAATATGTTTCTGTTAATGCAGTGTAAGATAGAGTTGGCCTTTTTTGATAACTGTAATACAATGCTGATTCATACTATAATCTCAAGATGTAAAACTCTTTAGGTCTTTTTCTAAAGGAATTGCTGTCAGATCGTTATTCTCCCTTTTTGCAGATGACAGGCTGATTTAAAATGTGTAATATACATTATCTCTATTAGATTTATGTTATTTACACTTATCTTTCTAATCTATTGAAATTCTTTTCGAAATTCACATTCCTTCAACTGTCTTTTTCAATTTCCTGCTATCACAGATTTGACAGTCATTTATCTTAAATACTCGTAAGAAACAAATCAGGGCATAAATATATGAAAAAAATTTGAATCCTAAGACAATTATTACTATATTATTCTACAGCAATGTGAAATATCACGTTTCACTGGAAACACTATAATTTGATCTTTTTCTCAATCCATTTCTTCCAATTGTCACCTGCACCCATAATTAGTTTTTAATCAGATCACACATGAAAGGATTTTTAAAATAAGGAAGCCATTTATACCCCCAGAGAAACTCAGTTAAATTTTGGGTTTCTCCATAAAAATACTACAAATTAAGTTAAACCAAAAGAACTTATTATGATTTGACTGATTGTAACCTAGAAATAATGGAGTTTCATTGAATTCATAGTTGTTTTAGAGCGGTTTTATATAGTAAACTACTGGATTATAAACTCTCTTATGCCAAACTTGGTAATTTATGGAATATTCATGGCAAGCGTGTGATAACAGCAAATATATGTTACTTAAAATTACCATTTCTCTCATTCCTTCCTGAGCTTTCAAGTATGCATTTAGAAAAGCTGTTTGCTGAAGCTTCAAAGGAAGTGCTTTCAGTAACCTGGAAGAATCTCGTTTTGTGTCCTGGAATAATCTTAAAACAAGCAAACAAACAAACAAAAAGTGAAATAATTGTTTAATCCAAAGCATATTCCAAAACAAAAATAAATCACTCTGTGAGACATAATAACATACTATCTCTTTTTTAAAGACTAATAAAACCTGAGTTTATTTAAAGAGGTTCAGACCAGCGGCTTAGTATTAAGGTCTTTAATACAAAATCTATTTTCTCCTAGAATTGAAGAGGGTCTTAAAATCTCTTTTAACTGCCGCCCAAATTTGAACAGCACTGAACTCAAACTAGCCAGAAAAGATAAGCTGTTCTCTGGCCAAATACCAATTAGTTGAGTCCAAAGATTCCAATGTCAGCCTGCTCTAATATTTAATCACTCTCAAAGTGGGTAGGTTAATGTTTTAATGTACCATTTAAATTTTGTTTTATGTGATGGTAAAAGGCTCATCAGTGTGCCTTTTACATAGCAGCCACATATTTAAGGATAACTGTTTAATCGACTTTGTCTGTTATCCTTTTTTAGTAATCAAAGTTTTTATAATTAAGTTCCTCTGATTCTTCTAGTTTCTATAACTGCTTTTAAAATAGCTAAACGTCAGATATCTGCTACCGTCTGAATGTTTAACCCTCCAAATGTCATGCTGAAATCTGATCCTCATTAGGTTATGCCTAATGGGAGGTGTCTGAGTCATGGTAGCTGATCCCTCATGAATAAAGGCCTAAGCATAGGGAATAAGTGAGTTCTCACTATTAAGTTCCCACAAAAGCTGGTTATTTTTTTTTTAAAAAAAAAAGAACCTGGCACTGCCTTCCCCACCCTCCTTTGCTTCCTCTCTCACCATGTGATCTCTGCATACACTGATTCCTCTTTGCCTTCTGCCATGAGTCTGAGGCCCTTACCAGATGTAGATGCCACAGGCCAAATAAACCTCTTTTCCTTATAAATACCCAACCTCAGGTATTCCTTTACAGCAACACAAATGAACTGAGACAAAATTTAACAAGTGTAAAATTAAAAAAAAAAAAAAAAGAATGCTATTTGTCATTCTTGAATTTATACTTTATGAATCTTCAATTTTTTTCAATGCCAACACTACACTGCTGCCTTATTACATTCAACTCAGTCTTATATAACCTCAGTCCTTAAAGTTCAGCATATATTTGCAGTCTTATATAACCTCAGTCCTTAAAGTTCAGCATATATTTGCTATCTTTTATCTGTGATATTTAGTAAGAACTTGAACTTCTAAACATATTCATTAGAAATCCTTACAATGGAAACTCTTACTGAAAAGAGTTCCAAACCTAAGGAGTTAGATACAAAATCTAGTTTATGAAAACATTACTGTCAGCATATTCAACTACTGAAACAGTTTTAATACTTTATTTGGCTGCTGGAACAATATAGTGATCTTTTATTATTGGTCCCTTACATTTGATCAGTAAAGTTACTCAAATGACTTTTCAGCTTTGATGTTTTTATAGGATCATGTAATTTTTTTTCAAGTACATTATTTTAAAAACAGTTATTGAATACCTATCACATGCCAAGTATTGTTTTAGGTACTAAAAATACAGCCATGAACAGAACAGACAAAAACCAGTGCTTTTAGAAATTTATATACAAGTAGAATAGTGAGAAGTAAATATATTAAAGTAGAATGTTTCAAGTTATCATAAATGCTAAAGAAAAACAAAACAAGGGAACAGCAAAATGGCTGAATAGGAACAGCTCCAGTCTGCAGCTCCCAGCAAGATCAATGCAGAAGCTGGGTGATTTCTGCATTTCCAACCGAGGTACCCAGCTCATCTTGTTGGGACTGGTTAGACAGTGGGTGCAGCCCACAGAGGGTGAGGTGAAGCAGGGTGGGGCGTGACCTCACCTGGGAAGTGCAAGGGGTTGGAGAACTCCCTCCCCTAGCCAATGGAAGCCATGAGGGACTGTGCCCTGAGGAACAGTGAATTCCAGCCCAGAAACTACGCTTTTCCCATGGTCTTCGCAACCACAGACCCAGAGATTCCCTCAGGTGCCTACACTACCAGGGCCCTGGTGGCAGACACCGAGCTAGCTGCAAGAACTTTCTTTCCATAGAAAAAAACTCATAAGAAACTCACTGAAAACCGCACAACTACAGGGAAACTGAACAACCTGCTCCTGAATGACTACTGGGAAAATAATGAAATTAAGGTTTTGAAACCAGTGAGAACAAAGACATAACATATCAGAATCTCTGGGATGAAAAAGTGTTTAGAGGAAAATTTGTAGCACTAAATGCCCACAGAAGAAAGCAGGAAAGATCTAAAATCAACACCCTAACATCACAATTAAAAGACCTAGAGAAGCAAGAGCAAATAAATTTAAAATCTAGAAGAAGCCAAGAAATAACTAAGATCAGAGCAGAACTGAAGGAGATAGAGACATGAAAAACCCTTCAAAAAAGTCTATCAATCCAGGAGCTGGTATTTTGAAAAGATTAACAAAATAGACAGACTGCCAGCCAGATTAACAAAGAAGAAAACAGAGAAGAATCAAATAGACACAATAAAAAATGATAAATGGGATATCATCACTGATCCCACAGAAATACAAACTATCATCAGAGAATACTATAAACACCTCAATGCAAATAAACTAGAAAATCTAGAAGAAATGGATAAATTCCTGGACACATACACTCTCCCAAGACAAAACCAGGAAGAAGTCGAAACCCTGAACAGACCAATAACAAGTTCTGAAATGGAGGCAGTAATAGCCTACCAACCAAGAAAAGCCCAGGACCAGACAGATTCACAGCTAAATTCTACCAGAGATACAAAGAGGAGCTGGTACTGTTCCTTCTGAAACTATTCCAAACAACAGAAAAAGAGGGAATCCTCCCTAACTCATTTTATGAGGCCAGCATCATCCTGACACGAAAATCTGGCAGGGACACAAAAAAAGAAAATTTCAGGCTAATATCCCTGATGAACATTGATGTGAAAATCCTCAATAAAACACTGGCAAACCGAATCCAGCAGCACATCAAAAAGCTTATCTACCATGATCAAGTCAGTTTTATCCCTGGGATACAAGGCTGGTACAACATACACAAATCAGTAAATGTAATCAATCACATAAACAGAAACAATGCCTGTAATCCCAGCACTTTGGGAGGCTGAGGCAGGTGGATCACCTGAGGTCAGGAGTTTGAGACCAGTCTGGCCTACATGGCGAAACTCCGTCTCTACTAAAAATACAAAAATTAGACAGGCATGGTGGCAGGCGCCTGTAATCCAGCTACTTAGGAGGATGAGGCAGAATTGCTTGAACCCAGGAGGCAGAGGCTGCAGTGAGCCAAGATCATGCCATTGCACTCCATCCAGCCTGGGAGACATGAACGAAACTCTTGTTGCAAAACAAAACAAAACAAAAACAAATTAATATATGTTTATTCCAGTACTCAAATATAAAAGATCCTCGTGATAGAATCATCCCAGGGCTACACTGTATGTTCACTCAAGTAAATTGTCTAATTAGCACAATGTAAAATGTGCTAATTATCATTTCATAAACTCACATAAAAATCACAATAATTTTCAAACAGTCCATATCTCCTATGTTAGTAGACACACTTAAGTCAACCACTTATTAGCTCTGTGGCATAAGGAAGTTACTTTACCGCACTCACAGTTTCATTTATAAATTGAAGGAATTAATAGAATCTAAGTGATAGAAGTGTAAGAATTACGAAAAAACATAAATGCCAGGCACATCATATATACTCAATAAGTGTCAGTTATTTTTAATATTGCAACTGTGAGCTGTTACTGTGCTAGACACTCTACTGCTGTCTGCAGCATTCCAAATACTTCACGAATACTTGACCTATTACCTATTGATTGACTGGGCAGCCAACATGCGAACTTGGTGATGATTATCAGCAAGAAATTGTGTAAATACTTCATTTACAGGAAAGTCTTCTCCCATTACATGAAGAATAGCCCACTTTGAATAAGGATCAGCCTATGGGAAAAGAAATGAGGTTGAATATGAAATAGAGAAAATTCACTCATTAATAAACAAAAACTGCTTTAAAATTTTCAGTGGAGATCTTACTAATAAAATGCAAAAACTCACCTCAAGCAAACATTTAAGGCATTCTACTAGGGCCATTCTTACAGAGAATGTACATTTCTTCTCCTTTGTTAGATGCCTGAAATCAAGTAAGTTTTTTGAAGTCAAATAATCATTCCAATAAAAGCACTCAGAAAACTCACTGAATATCAAGGTTATTATAAGTTGCTTCCAATATGTCTTTCTGTGCTAAACTTATTTGTCATGATATGGAATATGCCAACATACTCACCTTCCCAAAAATTCAAGCTAAAAGAAATCACTTTGGAAGAATTCATTTTAGTGCAAATGATTGTTTTATACCATCAAGTCTCTTTTTTGGGGGGCTACCATAGAATGCCTACCACATTACAGTAAATTTACTTTAGAAATAAATTTCTTTGTTAAAGTTTTGTTTGGTATATCGAAGATTTCAACACCACATTCTGGCCTGGTGCACTGGCCCAGGCCTGTAATCCCAATACTTTGGGAGGCTGAGGTGGACAGATCACTTGAGGTCAGGAGTTTGAGACCAGCTGGCCAACATGGTGAAACCCCATCTCTACTAAAAATGCAAAAAAATTAGCCAGGCATGGTGGCAGGCACCTGTAATCATAGCAACTCAAGAGGCTGAGGTAGGAGAATTGCTTGAACCCGGTAGGCGGAGGTTGCAGTGAGCCCATATCGCACCACTGCACTCCAGCCTGGGTGATGGAGTGAGACTCCATCCCAAAAAAACACAAAAAACCTTCTATTGATTTAGAATTACTCATCAATCAAATAGTACAAGGGTTCTAGATTATATATATATGTGTCCCTCTGTAAGTATCATGGTGTTATCTCAGAATGTGACAATATAGATAAAATAACAGATAGTGACAAAGCCAATTTGTTCACTTTGGGAACATGAACAATTCAACTGATTTTGGCTTGTTATCCTTCCTTTATTCACTATCTATGTCAAACTATTAAGTGACTCAAAATTTGCAGGGAAATGAGTTAAACGGTTTAGAAAGCCAAGCCTTAAAAAAAGCAGTGTAGTTCTTCAAGCAACTGAGGGAAACACAAATTACATTCCGCTGTTCTTAAAAGATATATTACCTACGTAGGAAGATCAGAAGAAATCACTGATGTAGATACAAAATTTGCATTTGTATCCACAGATAGCAAAAGAAAAATAAGACCACAAAATAAGCTGTACCTACCAAAATGCTCCAATTACTGTAAGAAACTGTCCTTGAGCATCCTTTGTGTTCTCAGAGTCCATATTGCTTTGCCCTAGGTTTCTCACTATATGAAGGACATGGTTTAAAATAGTTTTACAAACATCTTGGTCACGACGATACAAAGAACACACATTGCTGTGATGAAAAAAGTTTAACTTTATAAGCTTAACAGAACACATCAGTAATTTTATAAATTTAAAGTGAACATAAGGTTTTATATTTCTTACGATAGTGGTTTCAGAAGTTCAATAACATCTTCCATTGGCAAGGGATACTCTTCTCCAGGAAGCTCCTTTAAAAGTATTAGATACTAAGATGGTAGGAGGGAAAAAAGTCAGATTTATTCACAAATCATTTATGTTAAAAAGTACATAAATATAGGCTGGCTCATGCCTGTAATCCCAGCATGTTTGGTGGCTGAGGAGGGCGGATCACAAGGTCAGGCGTTTGAGACCAGCCTGGCCAATATGGTCAAACCCCATCTCTACTAAAAATACAAAAATTAGCCAGGCATGGTAGCGGGGGTCTGTAGTCCCAGCTACTCAGGATGCTGAGGCAGGAGAAACATTTCAACCCAGGAGGTAGAGGTTGCTGTGAGCCAAGATCGCACCACTGCATTCCAGCCTGGGCAACAGAGCAAAACTCCATCTCAAAAAAAAAAAAAAAAAAAAAAGTATATAAACATAAATTCATACATGCACACACATACAGCTATAAATTTTTAAGAGGGGTATAGTAAAAACAAAAGGCTTTGAAGTCAAACAGCAAAATTCAAGTCCCAGTACCAAAGCCTTAACTTTTCTGGTTAAAAAACTTGCCTTACATCATCTAGGGCCTTTGTATCCTCATCTGTAAAATGGGGATATATCACTCATCTGGCCAGATAACTGTGAGGATTAGAGAAGGTAAATGTAAAAGTCTAGCTTCTATTGTGTGTTGCAGTTAAGAGCTTGAGCAAGATTCTGAAACTGTAAGTATCCATTCTCCCAAAATAATGCTTGGGGAGAATAGTCCAGTGGTTGAAAACTATTCTATTAATGAATTTTAGAAAGCAGAGATAATCATAGGCAAAGAAGAAGTCAAACACCCTGATCTATCTTCCCATAAGGCAACATTGTAAGGCTCTTTACGGTACTATGGACAGAAAGGGCTGTTGCAACTACCAGTTAAAATGGTAGTTATTATGTAGGCAGCCAGTTTCTGAGAGCTACCAAATAATTTTCTAGCTATACTGAAATCATAAGGGATTTTTTTCCTATTTACATGTAGAATATTGCCTATTCCTTTTCAGATATTAACAAAGAAAATTAAATGCTCCTTTTCATTATTTGACATGAAAGTCATGTACATCAGGTTACTGAATGTTTTGAAGTGACTGAAGTGACTTGAAACATCAATACTTGAAGAAAAGCATGTAACTCTTCTTCCTGGTCGGGATAGAGACTTAACTAGAGTATCT